GATCTTCTAACACAATAGTGTTAGAGTCCACGTGCAAAAAAAAAACTCATCTGCGTAAAAATTAGGAAAAAATAAGTGGCTTTTTTTGCTAATATATGTAAGAAAAAACTTGGTTAAATTGATTTTGATTCCAATTTAGTGTCATTGTTTAAGACGCCGATAAGGTTGAACATTACAAGTACCTGCCGGAGAATGAAATTTCTTCCTTAGAGTCGAAACTATGTAAAATTGAGTTTTGTTAAATCTAGTTTTAAATATATTCTTGTTACACTGTAAAAAGCCTAGCCTTGATCACATCTGAAGTGGTTCACAACTCACAAGAAATGTTCAGGAGAACTGCTGAGAGTAACTACATGCAGCCCTCGCTCTATATGATGAGGGAAAAAGTAGTAAAAATGCAAGACGCACAGCGAAGTCCTAAGGAGATCAGTCGAGAGAGAGAGAAAATAAGACAAGGTGCACTGGTGGGGGGGGGGGGGGGTAAAATGAGCGATAAGACAAAGCGTGAAGAAACTGAGTACATGCACCATCGCACGAGTGTATTGCTTCTCAAATAGAAAATACGCCCCATCAATGCTAGCCTACCATAGAAAGCAAGCTGCATAGCAGACTTTACACTGCACTTATCCGGCGATTTGAGAGCTTTCAAGGACAGCATAAAATTCCAGGACCTTCAAGGGCCTTGACAATGTACTTTTCAAATTCGAAGATTTTTCAAAACTTTTGTACCTGTACAAACCTTGCCATATTACTGCAGCTGAAATAACAACCAACATCTGTTTCAACTTGATGCAAAAATAATGGCATCATTATATTGGCCATTCTGAAAGAACTTGTTCAGCGTAGTAAATAAACAGAATACTGGTTGAATAAAACTGTATTTCATGAAATAACATTTTATACACCTATGTGATGATCAGTATATGTATGGTAGACAAACGCTGTGATGTACTATACTAGAGACACACACAGTCGCAACCGCATTTCCCTTAGATGACTCCAACGTATAGAAAGGTTCTTTTCCTTCACAACAGATTATACTGCTGGGCTTAACATGACATCATTTAGCTAATCTCATAATGCCAACCTCCTGCGGCACTCATCTCTCTGTGCTCAAACTACACAATTTAACAAACTTCGTTTTCTTTATGGAGTGATGTTTTATGTGGCTAGGGCATTCTGTCTATACTCCAAAATCCCCCTGTAGTGTTCAGAAAGCAGTGCATAAAAAAAAGAACCTCACAAGGTACCTTAAGCATACGCCTAAGACAAGTAGAAGGCAAGAGCCATTTTCTTTTTATTGCGATAGCATTTTTGATCGGTCTTTGCCATCGCCAGGGGCATAGGTAAAATGTTTTTATATTTTTGAGGGGAGAGTGCACCTTGATCTGAAAAGGAAGGCATGCAAATGGTAATATTGAGCTATATATATGCCATGGCAAAAAATATTTCGAGGGACAGGGGGCAGGTTCCCAATGTGCCCCCCCCCCCCCCTTGCCTGGCTATGCCACTGGCTGTCGCCGTCCCATTATCACAATCAAGAACATTTCCCCACGCATCGTGCGTTTTACATGCGGGCAAAAGCGCGCAAGCAGGGGTGATGAATGCAGCTAAAAAAGTGACAGTTTCGCCACAAGGGCGAAGTAATGAATGCGATGGCAACAACTTGGAATGTAATGCTGAGAATGCCAAACAGATCAAAATGTGCAGCGCACTGCTAATGCACAGATGACGCATGAAAACAACATACAAAGGAAGAGAGCGAACTAACAACGTTATCCGCTCGCCACTTGACGGGCTGTTCAAACAAAAACAATGCACGAAACGTAGTCACGAGTACAGCTGAGTGCAAACTCAAGTGTCTCAGTTGTTACACTTCGCTGTGCATGAAAAGCGTGCTCTTTTCGCAAATGGGGCCTGTGCAGCCAGTGAAGCGACCTTTGTGTTGGGTCAGGCAACTAATGAACTGACGCAATCGTCCCGGTAAAAGCCGAAGGAACACTATTCTCCCACCTGAAGGATAAGCGTGTGCGCACAAGCATCTATCCCCCCCCCCCCCTTCATGGGGCAAAGTACGCGTGGGAGTTTCATATATATATATATATATATATATATATATATATATATATACACATACATACATACATACGTATACATATATGGTAAATGACAGGGGCAACGGCAAAAGACCAGCCGAGACTGTCCATATATTTGCTATTGCAATAAAAGATCTGACCTGCCTTCTTTGCACGGAGTGCAGATGCGATAGCATCACTCCGCGTGCAAGGCCTGCTATCGATTGTTACTAAAGCAGAGAGGAACCCGCCACCCGTCTTCAAAAAGCAGGAAAGAACTAGGAAGGCAGGGGGAGGGGGGGGGCATTGTTATCAACTTAACTTTGGGCGAGATCACTGGAACTTTCGCTAATTCGGCAATCACTGGAACTCTCGCTAATTCGGCAAGCATTAAAGACGGCTGGTATACCCTTCTATCTTGTACCCTCAATGTAAACAGACTTTTGCTATCACACTCATTGCTAAGAGCCTAAGTGAAACTAACAAATAGTATTTTTTGGACACGACGTCAGATGAACTCAGATGAACACGAACTGAGATGAACGCTGGCTAAAGGGACAATGATCACTCCAATTGCCGAAGCGGTTGCACTGTCAGTTATCGAAATGCGAAGCAGAGGTTACAGTACGTATCATGGGAAGTTTAAGAACATGTCTCAGGTCTCGAGATAACCCGCTCGCGAATGCACCCTTTAAGTGACGCAGCTTTCGCCCCCTCCTACCTCCCCCCCCCCCCCTCCAAAAAAATTGAAGCAATGAATGTGATGACATCATGTTTAATTTTTTTTAACCGTCAGCTATTGACCTTGGAAAGCAAGAGGCGGATGTGTAAGAAGGCGTAGCCTCTTCACCGTGGCCATCCGACCCCAGAGCCACCCGCGATAGCCTGCCTATTGAAAGCTGCGCGTATTAAAACTTAATTCCGGCTGCTCCGATTAGGAAACATGCTTTTAATAATGAGATGACATTAAAAAAAAGATGCAAAAATTTTGAATACAGACCCTAGCCATCTCGAGTTCGAAATGGCAGGGTGTTTTAGGAGCTTTTACCGCAACAGCATTTACAAACGCAGATGTGCTGGTGGAAAAAATTCCAAAAATGAACTTCTGAATGAAGATACATGAATAAGGTATATTAAAGAAAAAGTGTCAACGCGTTTCCACCGTGCACGTGTTCTTCTGTGAACGCGAAGCGCGGGAGATCACACCGCGATATCAAAAAGTCTACCGACTAATCATTGCCACAGTTTCACGCACTGATTGGACTAGGCGTCACAAGCCCCTGCGGAGAGCGCGTTTCACTATTAAGCGGACTTACACAACAGAAGTAGCATCGCCACCAAATATAGCATTGTGAATTACTTAGGACACGCACGCAATCGCTGTTAATTCAGCAGAATCATTCTAGACATGCGATTGTGACATTGGTGGCCCCGAGAACAAGAGGCACACGTTTAGACGTGCCGGCGGGGCTATTGCCGATGATAGATGCGCCCAAATCTGACTTTGGCGCCGTTTAGCGCAATTTTCGTTGATATTAACAGGATGGCACAGTAAATCTGATTTGGTGCAGTTGGCGCAGAAGTGGGATCACTGTGCTTTGCCAAACTGAAACTAGAAAACAAAATCAGGACCATAAATCATATGATTAATTTTCTTTCAAGGTGCCTCCTATCTTTAGACACATCATCTACGGCATATCACATCAGCGGTTGTGGTTTATGTTCTGTAGCATGCTTTAAGTAGTCACAGTAAACAGAAGTGCAAGAAATAAACAATAACATGTCTAATTGCCGTAGTGGCATATCAGTTCATGTACTGCACATACATGCCTTATAAAGTGGACAGAGGGATGACCGCTGCTATAGCTCAGTCACTACAGCATTGGACGCTTTATTCGAAGGCCGCAAATTTCGTCCCTGCCAGCGGCAAGTGATCGTTCCATCCACTTTTTTTTCTTCACATTTGCATTACAATTACAACAAATAACATCCTATACTTTCCTTGGCATCATTGTCTGTTACTTCTTAATACTGTGTCTAATGAAGAACACAAGACTTTGGAATTTCCACTTCTTTCCATCATGCGTCCTAGTATCGCCAGCTGTAGCCTCTGCAATTTATCTACCCCTCTTATAAGCTGAGTGGAACATAACCTTTAACAAACTGCTTACTTCCATCATTGTCTTATACAGCACTCCTCCTTTATTGTATAACTATTGTCTAAAATTCAGAATTCTGCTAAAACTAGATTTAATTTCCAGATGGTGTGGTTAAGATATTTTTTTAAAGTATGCCATAGGCAAAGCCAATAATGAGGAGTCAGCAACATGACACATGCACCTTGATTTAAAAAATAGTACCAACAATAAAAAAATAATCCAGTCACAATCTTTCATCTGTTGCCACATTTACATAAGAACAGAAAGTTTGCCATTTAATAGCATCTGGCTTGAGCTACGGGATAGAAAAGTGCTTAGGTCAGCTAGTTTGCAAAATCACCCTCTTTCACAAGGGTTAAGAAAAATACCAATAATAGGTACAAGATATTTGCAAATTATACATCTCATTACACTTTCTCAAGTATGAAAGACAGGATGTAGAGTAAGTCAGCTTTTTAACCAATGAGGAATTGAAAAGTACATATTCTACTAATTAGAATATCTGGTGTCCTACCATCAAACAATTAATCCTGAACATGAATGCATCCAAGCTGGGAAGTCTTCAAAGCTCCTTCCGGAATTTTTTTTTATGTGTGAAAGTGAACATAGCATATGTTGCAGGCTTGTTGCAAGACGTGCACTGCTTAAAACAATATCATCTTGCACATATACAGTGCCAAATATATATATAGTATATATATATAGTGTTACACTGCATTACACATGTCCTTAAATAAAACCTGACCCACAAAACAGTTAAGCTTACCTTCGCAGTTTTTTATCTTGGATCGTAAGAGTTTTCCCACTTGATGTTGGTCCCCTGAAAACAGATGTATATCTGAGAATTTTGCCAACCACTGGACAGTAAAGCACACAAAACCAATTAAAGGTAGCTTTCAATGACTGTGGTATCATCAAGTACTTTTAACAATGCCTATCACTCTCAATACTTCACTGCAAAGCTATGTTATTAATCAATGTGACAGGCCTTTTGCTGCTCTCCTTTCAAGGATAGGACACTTGCACCAATTTCAGTAGTTAGCTTGAATCATGCACGCTAAGCTTTTTTTTATATGAGGACTTTTACAGGGTGTTCCAGTTAATTCAAAGCACAATTTTTTAAAAAGTCACTAGCAAAGCGTTACTAAAAACAGAACTAATGCATGTTGTTACTAGTACACTCGATTAGCTGATAGTAATTTTTGTTAACTAGATTTCATTATGTGAGTTAATTAAATGTGTAATTCTAATACTACAGTTCTATAGAGGCAGTTGTAATCAACCACGTAGTCAATCGAACTGCACTATTTCCAACAACGTATGAATTGCATACTCAGTTTTTCTGACTAATAAACGATCCCTGCAAAATATGAAAAGTACCCCGTAACAGCCCTTACAGCCGCATAGTAAAGCAGGGCTCCCGAAGAAGCTGAATAAAAGCGATTCCTTTGCCGGTCTGACATCAGAAAAGACAGCGCATCTACTTGATTGTGGTATGGAAGCCGGGGCATGCTATGCGGCTTATTAGCAATTTCTTGCTGTCAATTATGCCTTGCTTTTCTTACCCGCCTCTTATGGCTTGCTGATCTATTTGATAAGAATGGCTTTCAACAGCATGATCGAAGCGCTGCTCGTACCACAGACAAAACCCAAAATTGAACAAAAAAAGACGAATATTTCGAAATACGAGTTCAGCAGAATGAAATAAACGTACGAAAATAAAGTCACGATCGTGCTTTATTTGCCGTGTGTGCCGGGCCCAAAGCACAAGTCGCGTTTGGTGTTAAACAAGCAGGTACAGCTGTTTGTTTTGCGTAGATAGCGCATGGACAGTTCTTTTTTTTTTTTTTTTTCGCAACGAAGCCTGTCACTACAAAAGCAGGTTCGCATAGTTAGCATAAAGGTTTGAAGGAGCGTTTCTCTTCGTGCTTAATTGCCACCATGCCCTATTCTAATGAACAGAAGTCGAGCATGATTCTTGCCTTGGGAGCCACACACGGCAACACAAGAAAGGCCCCAGAGAGTTATTGCTCATAGAAATGTGGCGGTAGACCTAACGCATCAACAATCATAACAAATTATGAAAACCTGCAAGAAACCTGCTATTCATGTAACAGCTGCTGAGAACTGTATCTTTCAGTGACAACCTACGTGCCATTGTTCTGGCATTTATGGCCGCAAACCCCCAAGCTAGTGTGTGAGACATTGCTTACTCAGGCACCCATTTCCAAGTCGTCAGTTTGGCGGATGTTGAATAACTTAGGTTTTCATCTCTACCATGTTAACCTGCACCAAAGCTTGAAAGAGAGGGACTTGCAGTATCGCGTAGATTTCTCGAACTTGATCCTCACAAAATGCGATAAATATCCAAACTTTCTCAGTAATGTAATCTGGGCAGACGGTGCGAGTTTTTGCATAAATTATCAAATAAACCTGCATAATGCCCACTACTGGAGTCACTGCATCTCACACCATGGGTAAAGAGCACTCGGCACCAGTACCAGTGGTCTTTTAATGTTTGGTGCGGAATTTACGTTGGAGGTATAATTGGCCCCATCTTCTTCGATCATACGCTGATTGGAGTTACGTGGGTGAAATCCTTAAAGGAACACTGGATACATTTTGCAGGTAAGTTCCTCTATCACGTCTTATACTTTTCTAGTAGAAGCAAGATGGGGCCAGCACATAGCAGCAGCAGCAACAGACAAAACTGATTGGACGCGATTTTTCATGGACAACCGATGGGAAGGCATGGGCCGGCTAGGTCACCTGATCTTACTCCACTAAATTTCTTTCAGTGAGGATACGTGAAATATCGTGTTTACATGACCAAGACGAAGATGCCAGATCACCTGAAGGCGAGAATAACGGATGTCTGCAGCACCACTCCTCCATCGGTCATCAAAAAAAGCAAGTAAGGAAGTTGTAAAGCGTGCTCAGTACTGTGCAGCCGCAGGAGGAGACCTATTTGAACACATTCTTTAAGCAGCATAGAGTGCTCAATGGTGCTTACGAATGCACCATTAACAAAGCAACAATTAAATCTGACTTTTTCTTTTCTTTTGCACAGACGTCATGTTTGCCAAATAGGTACATTTGGCAGTGGCACACTGAGCTTTTTCAACGCACCGGTTTTGCTTTTTTTCTACACATCGGTAGCTTTTTGGCATGCTTATTTCAATTTTATTTGTTTCCTTGCCGAATGCTTGTTTTTTTTTTGCGGCACGAAATTATGGAAAATCCAGCACCAACTTTACTTAGCCTTGCCCTAAAGCGAGTTTCTGACACAAGATATAGCTGCACGCACACACTTCCATTGCAGTGGAAATACAACTCATATTTTGAAATATTCTACAACTTTTTTTTTGTTGTTGAATTAAGGGTTTCGTCTGAGGTACGAGCAGTGCTTCGACCATGCTGTCAAAAGCCATTTTTATCAATAAGTGAATCGGTAAGTCATAAGAGGTGGGTAAGAAAAGCGATGTATAACTAACAGGAAGGAATCGCTGATAAGCCACGTAGCTTGCTCTTCAGATGTGCGACCGGCAAAGGACTTGCTTTCAATCAGCATCTTCTGGGGTGCTCCTTTACCATGCGGCTCTGATATTGGCACAACAACAAATACAGACCGCACATACAACCACTATCATGAATTTTCAGTGCTTATCAGAAATACGAAAAAATGAAACAGACAGAAACACTAAAGTAACAGTAAAAAAGGTAGTAACCAAACGGCATTATTATACAGCAGGAACATGTTTTTGGGCTGTGATCAAGCACCAAGAGATACTGGACCAGAAACTGTGGTACAAGCGTGATGCTACTCATCATAAATGCATGGTAGACAAGTTTTACAGATAATAATCTATTTTTTTCTCATGAACAATGCAACAGAAGCTGTGCTCACATAATTTTAAAGCCGTTAAAGAGCTCGTGTTGCAGAAAACCCGCCACCGGCGTCGGCCCCATTGGTTGTGAGCGAAAAATCGTCAGTGCGTCTGTGACCGAAAAATCAAGTTACTGAGATAGCCGCGGGACGCCGCTACTTTTCCACGCATGCACGCGCGATCACACTGAAAAAGCCCCGCATTCGAAGAAAAAAAAAGTGCTCAAGGTGACGAGGGGCGATAGTTTCTTTGCCCTGCCACCCCTCCCTGCTTAGCTTCAAGCGTTTTCGTCGGGATGAGAGAAGAGATGATGATTGATATGTGGGGTTTAACGTCCCAAAACCACTATATGATTATGAGAGACGCCGTAGTGGAGGGCTCCGGAAATTTAGACCACCTGGGGTTCTTTAACGTGCACCCAAATCTGAGCACACGGGCCTACAACATTTCCGCCTCCATCGGAAATGCAGCCGCCGCAGCCGAGATTCGAACCCGCGCCCTGCGGGTCAGCAGCCTAGTACCTTAGCCACTAGACCACCGCGGCGGGGCAGAAGAGATGATGCAATTGCAGCATGCGACAAACCTTTGTAACTCCACTCGCACTGGACAAATTCTGAAAATTTTACGGCGTTGAATTGCTGAGGCAATAAGCACTTCTAGTGAATGTATTTTATGGTTACTTGAAGAAGTGTTTCAGGGCCCCTTTAACGCAATTTCTTCAACAGGTGTCACGACAAAAACAAGCCCATTCAATGATAATATTGCGCGCTAGTTCAATCAACTGTGTGCCTGTTCGTGTGCGTGTGTGTATGTAATTAACGCATTTTATTTGACAGGTATCACGATGAAAACGAGCCCATTCGGCGATAATAGCGCGTGCTGGTCCAATCTACTGTGTGCATGTTTGTGTGCGCGCATGTGTATGTAATAAAACATATGAATAAGTATGCACTCAGCAGTTGAAGGGTGCATTAGGGGCCGGATTTCGCTATCACGTTCAACTCTCAAAGGCGAAGCTTAAAGGTCCCCCAATTTTTAATTTTCTTTTTCAATACAGAAAGCTTCATGTACAGCGATGTTATCGACCAAAGCCATTATGCAGAAGCTTCTGAGGCAAAATCCGACTTTGGAGCAGCATAACAACTGTTTCGACCAATTACTTACCGCAGATCTCCGGATGCAAATATTTAACTCGAAGCCCGTGCAGTTGTAGCACATGTCAAACGAGATTCATTTATGCCCGCATGCAAGCATGTTCCTTTGCAGTACTCCTGAACATGAAATTAGGCCACTGCTTCTCACTTTACTATGGATATCCCCAAGTTTGCAAAGTCCAGTCAGCTCAAGTTTTCTAATACCCCTTTCACATGGCCACCAACAAACTCCGTTAAACACCGTCAACGAAAAACTCCCCACGAGAGTTCAATGGAGATGAAGTTGAGGCAGTGTTACACAGCAATCACAAGGTTGCAATAGTTGCCGCGAGGGGCCCAGCCGGCACTGTTTGATTTTTGCAGAAGTATCTCAATTTCATCTCCGGTTGCTTTTTCTGTGAATTTTCGTTATGCGGTATTGGCAAAAACACACTTTTATGTAGGTCTGAAGTGAACAAAGCATTAAAAACTATTTGAAATGAGAACCCATTCCCTAAATGTAGCGATGCTGGCAGCGACGCTAGCCACAGCGTGCCTAGCACTACACTTGTTTGCAATCACGCCGGGCTCGACTAGTTTGTGTACGAAAGTTATTGTGTTTCCTGGCCTTGTAAGCGCACATTTCGTCTTCTGCCTACAGTGCTTGACGATGATGCAGTGCTGTCAGTTATTCCTTTTATGAGAAAACGCAAACATGGAAAAAACAACTGCACGCACGGACAAAATATCACGTCCCGACTCGCAAGGCACGGTGTGGAAGGCATCGTTGAGGAGAGTAG